TGCTTATTATCTAAGAGTGCATAGGAGTGCCTAGAAAAACGCAAGGAAAAAATGTGCCAAGAAACTAAACTGGAATGCTATTTCAAGCAGAAACAAGAATTTGATCGAACTGGAAAATGGTTGCGATATTATTGATCCTATAACGCAGTGATCAGATTGATCATAACATGCAGCAAGCTGAGCTTTCTTTGTTCTGTGGAGCCATTGGCTGGCAAGGAGGGCTGGGCTGGGAAGAGTCCCTTATGGCTTCTCAACCAAGCAGTGGGGAATGTTTTTATGCTTCAGAAGCAGGAAACAGAAAACACTCTTGACTAACCATGGCAACTTCCCTCATTCTAAAAACTAGCCACTTTCCTCAATTCCCTGAAGTTCATATTACAAAACAGAGAACGTGTCCTAGGCCTCTCTGTGTCATTTCCCCCATCCTTTATAACGTAAGTGATTACCCAGTGGTAGATATCCACTTTACATCTGACTGTTTTATAGAAACTAATGCAAAGAAGAAAAGGACTCGGTCACTACCTCTTCTGAGTGCAATTTTGACTTCACGTAACTTATGCCACAACTTGGGTCAGCACTAAATGAATATGAAAATGTGCTGTTTCTACTTAACTCTCAGCACCTGTATAAGGTGGACTTTCTCTTCCAGTGTACCATTTAGTTTAGTCATGTATAGTTTGAGAAAATGATTAGACCTACCTGCATTTTAATTTGATCCATAACTTTTGCGTATACCCTCCAAGGACAGCATAACTCCTGCCTGCTCACAAAAATATACACTGCTTTTATAGCTCATCTTCCTCTCGCTCCCTGTCCCCTGCTTACCCCACACTTCCCCACGCTGAACCTTAGATGCATACACTCACATTCAAACATCCCACCTTCACATGTAGCTCCCAAGATGGTCAACATCAAGAAGACAGGTAAGATGATTTCGATGTTTTTTGGAATCCTGGCTCACCCGCAGTCCTATTTTTTTTCCCTTTCTCTTAATCAGGCTTGTGGGCAGATTGTAATTTGTACCATCCATGGACTCAAAACCCGATGAGTTTGGTCCTACATAGGTTAGGACTTTTATTTCTAAATTGACTTAACATTTCTACAGGAGTCATTTGTTAAATGGTACCCCGGAAGAGTCGACTCACCTCCCCTGGTTGAACTGAGAAGTTGATGTAACTCAGGAGAGCCCCTATTTTTTAAAGCCAGTCCCCCGAGTCTGCCCAGAAGCTGCATGACTGAGCACCGTCGGGATGGGGAATGCTTCCGCGCCCTTGGTTGCACGAGCAAGCTGTGTGGGCAGCGTTAGACTGTTCTTTTATCTCATCTTTTAATATGAGTCGTCACATTAGGTATTAACTATGAAAAATCTATATTTTTGTTTAAATGGCAAACCTCAGTGGACAGTTGGGACTTAACTGTCCTTTTCGATTAATAAGTGTTGTACTGGGAACACTTAAAGATCCAGCTGTAAATTTTGGTAGCAGTGCTGAATAATTAAAATAAGTCTGAGCTCTGAGCACCATGATTCCGACACAGTAGAGAGGGTCCACCTAACTCTCCATGCAAAGCAACCCTCCCATATGCCTACTGTGTTCACACCTAGGCTTGCATTCACCAGCCTTGCACTTGACACAACCACAGCTGAGGGCACAGGTCACCATCTTCTTAGTCACCCATGTGGGGTTGGATTGGTGATATTCTTATCAAACTGTCTGTGACTGCAACAAACTGGACCAGAATAGAATTTACCAACAGGAAAGTGCTATCCGTGAGCTACAATGACACACAGTAAATCCTACAGGAGAGCTTCAGTCATGGTGCTTTACCCAGCTTTCCTATGACAGTGCCTGCCCTAGTTGTGCTCTGCATGTATTCAGGCCACTGGAAAAGTACAGATAAACATCAAAGAGAAAGCACTGGCTCACCTCCCCTGATCCTGAAGCAGGGATACCTTTCAAGTCTCCAGGGGATATTCATGCTCTTGCGTGTTAGCCAATTGATTATGCATTTTTATCAGCATTTTCGGTCCCTTTTCATGATCTATGTAAGCCACATTAACCATGTAAGGGAATTGTAGAAACTAAGGTGAAATGCCTACTATATATCTATTTCTCAGCTCATGGGTTGTAGGCATTCTTGGCTTTCTTTCTGTGGATGGAGAAACCTGAGCTACAAAGAGTTACCCAAGGATAGCCCAGCTGATGGAAGTCTGCAGCAGAACTAGAGTGTGGCTCTGGCTCCCAGATCTGTTCCCTGTGTGATTTCTGTGTGATTCCTGTAAGCTGTAGAGGTTATGAAAGCTTAGACCCTGACTGAGGACACTTAAGTCCTTCTGGAGCAGATTATGGTAAAATTAGTGTGTGAACACAATAAGGAGTGGCTTTGGGTCCCTCTTCTGTGGTTTGCAGGCAGGAGGCACAGAAGTTTGATACATGTCTAAGGTGGACCAGTCCATTGCCACACATGTACACCTTCAGTACATAATTCTGTGGTGGTCCTAGCGTAGTTATTATGGCTTTAAAAATGTCGTGAGGATAAATGGCTAATACTTATCCCAAAATTCAGTTTGTTTTGTAAGTGAATGACCTTGGCTGACACTTGGCTGAGCAAAAGCTGGATTAGAATCAAATATCTTCCTTGGGCGGTTGTGGTAGATTGTCCGTTTATTTGCCCTAACCTAACCGACCCTGTCTTGTTCTCTCCTTTTATTTTGATTCCTGCTCTGGTCTTTTTTCTATCTGTCCACTTGAATCTGTTTCCTGTCTTTTCACCACTAAGGATGTCCTGCTTGGTTTCTCTTTTTCCCTATAGGGTCTAAGTATAAATTACCTAAAGTTTTACAGTGAGAAGCCATGGATTGCCATTTCTGTGGGGTTCTGAAGAATACTTCCAGTTTGTTTTGTTTTAACTACTATTGTTTGTGCCCATGGAGAGATAGTTAAGACTAGGGCTGGGTACTCAGTGAGTGGAATGGTTTTCAATGCACAGTGTTGGTCATTTGAGCTAGGGCCAAATTAAGGCTGATGACACTATAAGCTAACAACTCATGCTATGAAAACACACACACATACACACACACACACACACACAAACACACCTACTGCAGTAAACTAAAATGAGGACTTGGTTTCCATGACTTTAGAGTTAATGAGATTTGGTTGTGTTTCTGAAACTTTTCCTGAACATAGATTCTTTTAAATCTTACAGTGATTTGGCTAAAAAGTTGAATTGCGTCCATTTTAGAAGCATATAAATCCAAGTTTTACACTCACACTCATTGAATCATAACTTTTAATATACTTTTAAAAACTTTAGTTTTTAAATTATAAAAGCATGTATCAGGAGCTTGGGCAACACCTTGGTTGGTAGCACACTTTGTGCTACTTGAGTTCTGTCCCCAGAACCCACATGAAAAAGCTAGGAATGGTGCCTGTGTTTGTAATCCCAGCTCTTGGGAGACAGGGACAGGTCAATTCCTGGTGTTTAATGACCAAGCAGCCTAGCTCTAGGCCTGTAAGACACAATCTCAAAAGATAGGCTAGGTTTTGTCTGAGGAGGAACAGTGGAGATTGACCTCTGTCTTACATACACAGCATACACTGTGTACATGTACGCATGCACATCTTCACAAGCACACACACATACAAACATACACTCACACTGAGACACAAATGTGTACACACACACACACAGACACACAGAGACATACACATACAGACATACACACAAAGACACACGGAGACACACATACATGCACACATATATGCATACATACAGAGGCATGCAGACACAGACAGACACATACACACATACATGAAAACATACAGGCGCACACATAGTTAGTTGCTTTGGTATTAAGTTGCTTTGGTAGAACTGGAATCAAAGTCCTATGACTCTTAGTCCCTTACTTTCACCCTCCCAGTGTGGAGAGCGTTAGCATAAGAGAAGCCCAAACAGCTGCCTGACTGCCTGCCAGCAGTTCCTGAGAGGGAGCCATCCCGAATAGTTTCCAAAAACAGAAGAAGCATTAGGAGTAAAGGTTTAAAAGTGAGTGGGGCCACTCCTGGCTTTTAAAATCAATTAAGAATGTCTACCTGGACTTCAGAGTATATACGAAAAGGTATTTTCAAGTGTTTCATTGAATTCCGCATCTTAAAAAAACGAGAGTTAGTTTGAAAGCGAGGGGAGCCTTGCCCTGTCCAGTACTTAATCTAATCGCTGCAGTGCGAGGCTGACCCAGTCACAGCAGAGGAGGACTTGGGTTAGAATGTAGTGGGCTAGCCAGCACAGTGGCTTTCCCTTCTAACTCTCACAGACAAGCGGGAGCAAACGAGTCTCCCCTAGTGTGCTCAGCACAGTCACAAGTATTGCAGTTACAATAGAAGCATCAAACCACTTAAATGTAAGGCGGCGGCTTTCCCGGAAATGCTGGTTTAGGGATGAAGTAGACCGTTTTTATATGTTCTCATCAGACTTTGTTCGGCTGGCCCTCTGCACTCCTTACTGCTTGCATGTTTACTAACTTGTTATTACAACCTGTGTTTTCCTTTGTTCTTCACAACTAACACACTGGCCTCTGAATGCATGAGTTTTTGTGTAAACTAGAGTCTGACTTTGCAACCAATGAACACAGCCATGGTTGGATTTCGGGTCCTATTTGATATTATTGTGCTTAGAGAAGCATTTTCAATGGTAAAATAAAATAGACTGTTTACTTAATTTACTGTTATGAGCTCTTAGAATATTTCCTCCCTTTTCCATGTTTATTGTAAATGAAATTTCATTATTGGTTTTGTAGTTTAAGGGAATGATTCTGTGTAGCTAACAGTTAAGCATTCCACTGGTGTGCTAAGACCATAGCATTCCAGTTACAGAATGAGAGTTGTCCCCCAGGTAGTTAATGCTTTGTTAGAGATGCTTAGGGATGCTTCGCTTTAGAGATGTGGAACACGATACCAGGCATGACATGACATTTATTTCTCATACTCTCAACATCTCAGGACCCTGTCACCTGCCAAGTCTCCTTCTTCATCAACTGGGTCTATTGCCTCCAGCAGAAAATACCCGTACCCGATGCCGCCGCTTCCTGATGAGGAGAAGACAGTGAACCGACAGAGTGCCAGGGTACACAGCCATCCCACGGGCTTTCTGCGTGGCCATTGCTGGGGTCTTTGAGCTTCCTTTTTGTCCATTCTTCCGTTTGTCATTTGTTTGTTTTTGTTTGTTTGTTTGTTGTTGCTGTTCCATCGGTTCCAGGGGTAGAATTTTGATGTAAAGGATGGGAATTTGAATAACTTGTAATATTGAAAGAATACAGCAAAGGGTATGGTAAAATTTAACAGCATTAACTTATTACCTTGCTTTAAAAACATGCTGAACCATACCCACCTCCTCCAAAAAGCCAGATTTTTAACACGGTTTATCTTAATTATTTTTAATTATGTGTGTTTGTCTGTGAAGATGTGTGCATGTGAGTGTGGGTTCCTGGGGGCCAGAAGAGGACTTCGTTAGATCCCCTGGAGCTAGAGTTACAGACAACTGTGAGCTGCCTCCCATGAGTTCTGGGATCCGAACTCCAGTCCTTTGTAAGATCAGCAAGTACTCTTAGCCAGAAAGCCATATTTAAAACAAATATGGAGATATTCATCCCTATGATAAAAATGGAATTTACCAGAAACTATATATAAATATTTGGTCCCTGGTACATCTTTGTTAGTATGCCTCTGTCACAGCTTTCTCTCAATGCATTGTTTTTTGTGACGTTTGGGATAGAGTTTACAGGGTCAGATCAGCCTCTAGAGGTTTTGGTGAAATGGAGAACTGAATCCACAGTCCAGTGCCTCTTATGGCCAGTGACATACTGATGTCCCTACAGGGAGAAATAGGCTCCTGGGAGCCTCCACAGATTTATCCAGCACAGCGTTCTGAGTTTTTAGACTTTTTAGTATCTGAAGGGTTATTTCTATTTTGCCTTGACCAACCCAGGGTCAGTTACACACACACACACAGACACAGACACACACAGACACACACACACACACACATACACAGAGAGAGAGAGAGAGAGAGAGAGAGAGAGAGAGAGAGAGAGAGAGAGAATATTAATGAATCAGTAAAAAGCTGGACAGATAACTCTTAACCAAATATCTATACAAATAAGAAATGGTGTTTTGTTGATGGGATCAATAAGCTTTGGTGTACATGGGAATTGTCTGAAAAGCTTCAAAATAGTTTAACCTAAATCCCTCCCAGTGAGATTTTGATTTAGTTGGTGTGATGTGGCTACCAGAGCAAATAGATTAAAAAGCACTTTTGCAGATTAGGACTGAGGAGATGGTTCAACAGGTAACAACAGGTTTGCTGTGCAAGCATAAGGACCTTAGTTCAAATCCCCAGTACCCATGTAAAAGGCCAGGTATTGTGGTGCATGCCTGCAATCCTGGTAGTGGGGAAGCAGAGGCAAGAGCATCCCTGAAGCTTGCTGGCCAGCTAGTCCTGCCAAATCCATGAGCCCCATGTTCAGAGACGCCATCTTAAAAAAATGAAGTAGAGAATCACAGAAAAAGATGCTTGACATTGACCTCCCATCTCAACATGCACAGACATGCAAAGGCGTGTGCACACATGTGAACATGTACACATATAACACACACACACACAATTTTTCCACATAATTACACAGCTGTAATTGAGAACCAATATTTCAGTTGGCAATATACTGGACACAATAAAAAATAGGCAGCTTAAAAATAATATTTTAAAATTCTATACTTCAAAATGTAATGTTTATTCAAAATTGTAAGTAACATGAAATTAGGCTGTGAGAGGTTTGCTTTTGTGTTTTGTTTGTTTGTTAGTTTATTAAATGGTGGAAGTTGTTAGAACAGTTGATATGGGAGCTGGGAGATGGTTCACTGAACAAGGAATCTGCTGTGGGGCATGCAGGCCTGAATTTGAATCCCCACACTCCACATAAAAAGCTGAGCGTAATTACATGGACCTGTAGAGCCAGCACTGAGGACCAGAGACAGGTGGATTCCAGTAGTTCACTGGCCAGTGAGATACCCTGTCTCAAGGCAGTAAGGTAGGGGACACTAAAATAATACACCCAAAATCCTCACCTGGCCTCCCCATGCATGGGCATAATGCACACATGTCCATGTGCATACACCCAGCACACACAAAGAAGAAATGTTAATGTCAGGTTTCGAGAGAGCTCAAAGTTTGTGTATTTCTTTTATCCATTTATTAAATAAGAACATGCACCATAATAACTTATATATGATTAGACTCCTTCGTAGCTTAAAAGGACCACCTTCTGCTGTTACGGTACATGATTTTGCTTTCCTCTGTTTGCAGCTATGGGAGACATCCATTTAAGAACAACTGTTTACATGTGACACATCGAAACTGTTTACTTCTACTTTTCTAGAAACCCAGCCACCCGCAATCACTGCAAATCTATCTGCTCTCTGGACGATTTCAAGACCCTCTGAGATACCAGAGGCGAGAAAGCCACGGGTCATACCTGGATACCATACTTTTTTTCTTTTCTTTTTTTTTTTGTCATTGGCTTAAAACCAAATGGTAAAAAGAATTACTGGAATGTCACACTACAACAAGGAACCATTTATGGCCTGGTATTGATATGTTAATGGATAATCTGCATGACAGAAATTTGTAGAATATCAATAAAATTAATTCCCATGACCCAAGTTTAGCAGGTTTTCCTGAGGGACAGAAGTGGACTCAGAATGGAGTGTTCTGAAACACATCCTCATTGCAAACAGTAACGCCATATGCATGCAGCTTCTGGTTATTGTTTTCCATGTACACGGAAACAACATTTCATAATAGAAACTAGCATGCAGGACTAAGGCATCTAGGAGTTTTCTGCAGGACTGCAGGCCTGGAAAGCTTTGAGAGGCCAATATCCCATGCGCAATCTTTAAACGTATCTTTATTTTTATTTTTTACTTTTCATATTTATATTAGCATACAAGGACAACTGTACATATGTAAACATTTTTAAAATTTAAAAAGTAACTGTTACACATAAGTGTATTTTTGCCAAATGCCTACAGTCAGTCACAGTTCTGTCATTGTTCTCCTTCCTGCGTCTTCAGAGCATAAGTGGATCATATTGTAAATAGAGTGGTCAGTGCTGTAAAAGTATCTCTCCATAACTGGTGTTGGTCTGAAACATGTGATTTCCTTTTAAAGTGTGTACAGTCTGGAAGAGGTTTTATTGAGTAAGAGAGAAAAATGCTCAAACTTCTAGCCTCTGCATCTGGCCGAAGGAGGAGGCCAGATGTGTGGTAGCCATGAAGCTTCAGGACACCCTGGAGCTGACGGGGTCTCTGGGAATCTGTCAGCCTATCCACTCCACGTCTAAGACCCATGGTGCCTGTCACAGTAGCTGTTCTCAGTCAGTACCAGGGCATATAAACTAATCTTACCTGGAGACCATGGAGTCCCCTCCTCTCCAGAAAGTGTCTTCTGTGATTGGCCAGATGCACCGAAGACATGGACCCCAGAGTGGGAAGCTCCCTCTTAACCAATGCCTGAGCCTTGTCTGGTCTGCAGTTTGGGTTCCTAGACAGAATCCTTTCAGTCATTCTTACCTGTGACAGGAATGACTCGCTTTCACAATTTTGACACGTTTCATGACTAGGATGTAAGTCCCAGAAGATCTTGCGGTCTGGCCTTGAATAAGATGGTAGATGGTAACCTGAGCAAGGCATAAAAGATTAACTAAAGCCTATGGTACACAGATGCAGTAACTGCAAAGTTAACCATAAGCCTGCAAAGGAAAGAGCCTGTGTTTTGTGCCCTATAACTTTTAATCCACTTTAAAAAAATGAGTGTTCTATGTGTACTCTTGTCATTTAAAATGAAACATTAATAGCTGTTTCAATGCAATGTTGTCATCCAAAAAGCAAGTCCCTCCAGTGAGATCTGAAGTTGGTAGGCTCAGTCATGTGGTGTGCTGTGAAGCGCACTTCTGATGCCCCTCCTCCTTGCTGTTTGATGTGAGGATTGGAGTCAGCAGACAAGAACTCAGACATGGACTCTACATTTGATTTCTTCCAGAAGCGTCCAGGGACACAATTTGTTCCATCTATGTGTAGAATTGTCTTAGATACCCAAATTGAAGAGCCAGACTAGAAGAAGGCAAAGGTATACTCAGTTCATGTCTTTTGCAATGGTCCACTCTTCTGAAACGATCTGAAGGTGTTGGAAAACCAATTTAATCAGATAAAATTGTACAGTGAAAAACAGCATTTTCTCATGACCGGCAAGGATATAGGTTGCTGATGGCTCAATAAAGCAGTCTCAGACAAAGGCATAAATGAGTGTTGAACAATGCCTCCACATAACTTAAGGTAAGGACAGAAGGGCAGACAGGTGACATATGAAAGAGATGTAGCAAATGAAGTGACTTTTGAACAAGAACACTTTAAATGTGCACTGAATGTTTCTTGGAATTGAGTATATAAAAGGCTAATGTAATATAAGGTTTATTTTGAGTACAGAAAAAAGAGTTTATAGCTTTGAATGAATGGTGCCTCATGTAAATATGCTTTGTAGTTATAGTTAGTTACATAAGCCCTAATGTGAAAGAATTCACAAATGGTTAGCTAGTGAACTGATTATCTGTCTACCTACTGGTCTTTCCTTACCTTCTCATTATTTTTACCTGGACTTATTATTGAAAATTAAAATCATTATCACGTGCCTTTTCGGAGAAACAGCTGCTCTGGGTTGTAATCATCTTCAGACGAAAAAGTAGGAAAAGGTTTTGCTTAACTTGCAAAGTGATTTTAGAAAAATAATAGCTTTAATGTTCTAGTCTGGGTCTCTATCTCCCATGTTTAAGCATTCTTAGAATTGTTTTTGGAATGAACAGACCTTTAGTCTTGATGGATAGCTTCAAGAAGTATGTATCATTCCATTTAACTATGTATGACTTCATTCACTGAGGTAGACAGAATAGACAAGTAGAATCAAATTCAAGCACAGTGATTATTTCGTTCTTAAATGTCTATTTTGAAGAGGAACTTTGAAGCTCCATAGTGGTTTGAATCATGCAAATTCATACTTCCCAGTGTGCTGTGGGATCATCACTACACAGGGAAGGGCAGCAATATGTTCACTGGATGCTGTTTCTCTTTCTCATAATCTTGGCATTGATAGGACTGCAAGATAGTCCAGATGCCTGAGATGTCCCATTAAGCAGATCATTTCTGTTCTCCAATGAAAAGGGACATTCAAATCTTTCCACTATGTTAGCAGGGGAAGTCTGCAGTGACAGAGAATCCTTAAAGAATGAACTGGCCAGACTCACTCTTCCCGGCCACTTTCCTTAGATGGGAAGTCTTCCTCCAGAGTCAGCGAGATAGAAAATGACTCCAGTCACACTCAGTGCTGCTTAGATGCTGCAGCATGAGATACTTAGTGTTCTGCAGTGGCTGGCTTTGAAGAACAAAAGCCAGCCACCCAGCCCCTCACTTAGATGCTAGCTGATGAGTAAGTTCTTTAGAGTTACTCAACAAGCATTACTGTGGATAAGAAACCAGGGCTTAGGATGTCATCTTAGCAGTAAGCAGGGTGCTCTGTGTCACGATGTGATGTCTCTTCCCCTTCTGGCTTCACAAGGCTTTTCAAATAATGTTTGCACAGGTCGGTCCAATGTAGTCTTTATGCAAGAGAGATTGGTGGCACGTCTAAAAGAAGCCACTGTGAAGATAAAATTAGATATTTTCTGCCCACCAGAGGTGTGTGTGGCGGGTGGGGGTTGCTATGTTTTCCAGGACAGATCCATATGCTTTTCTTCTGTTGAGCACCTTATCTATCTGCCTGACTTCATCCTGCCTGTTGCTCTAGACTTTCCGTAGCTACTTTACCTGTTGCCCTTTTTTGGACTTTGTCCTTTTTTGGGGTACCTTTACGCGAGGAAAAGTGTGACCTCTGCTTGCTTCTTTGCAGATTTCAGAGTCAAGTTTGTTCATTTCACTCTGTGAGTTTTCTATTGTCCTGTAGTTCCATCTTAACCTTAGATCTATACAGTGCTTTAGAGAAGCCCTTCCCTGAAGGTAAGATTACTTTTTATCTTACTTAAATGTAAAGGAAAGGAAAGCTGTCTGGAAGGTTGCAGCATATAAAGAGAGGGGACAAAGTTTGGAACTGATGGGAGTAAAGAAAAGCAAGACATCCAGCTGCATAGCCACGCAGGGCGCGGCTGGCTACAGCTACTGCCTGCCGTGTTTGGGACATTCTCTTAGGATCTGACCAGCGGCAAGTTGGCTTGAGCTTTGAGACACTTAGACTCCAGTTAGCAGCACATATTCTACTTTTTATGTCCCTAATTGTCTGTTTTATTTTCTTCTATATCTGTCACCTGTTTCCCTTCCCTCCCCCACCAAAGCAGTCACATTGAATTTTTTCATTCTTATTCTACTAGCTTTATATGTTGAGCGGACATTTCTGTGGAAGATGGCTTATTGGAGGCTTGACTACTTAGTTTCCTCCTGTGGGATAGTTAAGACTACTCTGACTTCAAAGGCAGAATCCTTTCTCTGGGCACAGAAGAACTGAGGACTGGGGTTCCAGATTCTCCTTTATTGTAAAGAATTGAGTTGACATTTGTGAGAGCCGCTGAGGCAGCAGCCCATCTGGCTGTGTGTGAGCAGCCTCCTGTAGAAGTGTTTGGCTGCTTGCTGTTGGCACTTACTTACAGCATATGCTCTGTGGGGTAGGCACTTTCAGCTCAGAGTTTCCTACCTCACCTGTAGGCACAGAACAAAATTGTCCCAGACTTGGAGAGCAGAAGGTAGTATTTCCATCCCTATTTTACTCATGGTTTAGCTAGTCCTCAATGTGGAGCACCTAAAGTCAGGCATTGGAAACTTACAAGACCGTTATCAGTTGTACCTCTGCCCTTAAAATCCAAGGCCTTATGGAACAGTATCATTGCTGTTGGATTTGATGGCTGCATTTAGAACCTTCCTACTTCCAAAGTTCAGTATCTGTGCAGCACTTTTCCTCTTGATCAGAAACATCCCCTATCAGGGCCTTCTTTAGCTAAAATGAGAATTAGAACCATAGAAATACAGAGTGGAGGTCGGGGAAAGGTTATCTTTCATTTCCTTTTGACATGCTGGTTTGATTGTGCATCTTGGAAAGTCACTAAGAGATGGGTTTCAGGGTATAAATCTCAGGAAGTGAGTAAGCAGCACAGAATTTTGAGAGATTGGTCACAGCATAGGAGCACAGTGGACATCCACATAGAGCATGCAGAAGAGCTCAACATGGCCACCAGATATGCTGGAGGGAACCACTGCTGCTAAGAGCAGACGTGTGCTTTGCGGTTTTCTGGTGTGTTACTTTTGGAAGTATTTTACTGTTCGGTGTCCCTTGCATTGTTCACAGACCTGCATCACACTGGGAGGGGCTTCAGAAGTGGCAGGCGTGTCCATCACAGGTAGCCCGTGGAATCAAATTCAAGCAAAATGTATTTTATTGTTTCATTTTACCAAAAGGCATACAGTGAGACAAAAGAATCTTGTTACTATACACAAGGCCACCAGTTTCTGTGTTTATAAACTAGTCTCCCTACATGTATGAAGATGCATGTATGTACATTCTGCATTAAACTTATGGCATTTCTGGACATGATTTGTTTTGATTGTTAAGTTTTACAATAATGCAAATATCCCAAATCTTTAAATATAGCGGTGCTAAGATTTATCAGATAACACAATACAGAAAGTGCTGAAATGAATTCAAACCCTTAGGATTAACACCAGGGTTCCTGTTAAATTATACACGTGTATCACTGCCTGATTTGAAACCCCACCTTTCCTTTTTAATCCAGCACAATATCAAACTGTGATTCTATAACTCATCTTTTTAATGGCTACAAATAACCCAGTATCTTTTTTTAAAAAAAAAATGGGAAACTTTTCTTTTTAACACTAACTGCAAAGTGCTTAGCAAAGGGTTCCTTCCGGATAACAGAGCATTATTTATTATTATTATTATTATTATTCCTCCTCCTTCTCTGACTTGTTGGAAGACTTGCCCCTCCAACCAAGCATTTCCAAAAGACAGTTTTCAGATACTTCACATTTCACCAAAATGTGTTCATATGTTGGTCTGCATTAGGTCTCTGCCAGTGCTTCCTACATTCATAGCCTCCAAGGGGTGATGCCCATCTGCAGATGATAGAAACCACCCCACGGGGAGCTGTGAATAGCATCAGTGTGGTTCACTTTGGGTAACTGGGTACTCACGTGTATATACTTAGATTTGCATCATTCAAACCTCTTCTCTGCTTCTCTGCACGCACTTCCAGCTCTTGTGCTGTTTTAAAATTCACTGGGTTTTGGTAAACACCAACAGAAACGTAAATGATGATTGTTCTCCTGAGCAGACGTGATTTGTTTTATGGCTGTTTAAGTTATGAAGTCGTTCTCATATTGTAGGTGAATAAAACCTTGCTGTTTTTAGTGGTCACTGTAACTCGAGATTAAAATTTCTGGCACAATGTTATTAGTGTTCACTTCTGAAGCTAATAAGATAACAGAGTTTTCTATGTTACTCTCACTGTAACATCGATAAAGTGACTTTCAATAAAAGATTTCTGTTATTTTGATGCATAGCTCTCTTTGATTTTTTTTTTTTGTCTAAGTGGACAGTGTCCCTGAGAATCTGTCAGATGATTCTGTTCTCCTAGACCCTGGAGAGACAAGAAAAAAAACTAATGTTCCACTTGTTCGGCTGTTCCTCCAGCAAGGAAGCAAGGGACCCAGAATTCTCTCCTGCCTTAATGAAGTTTGACTCTTGTGTTTACCCCACAGCCCAGGGCTGTACCTGTGCCACCTCCTAAAGCCTGAGTCTTTGATGGGTTTGTTTTAGGTTCATGGGATCACTGTCTGAAACTGGCTACCCCTGGTCTCTTTATCTTGCCCAGCAGCCATTTGAGGTATCAGTCATTATAGTCCTTTGGTCTGTATAGGTATAGAGTCATGAAATCACTGAGAAAAGCCCATACATTTATTATAATATAAAAAATTGGTGACTGCATATTTACTATAACATTAAAAATTAGTGATTGCATATAGTTCTGTTCTTGGTTTCTAAAGTACTTTAATCATATAATTATTTGTATCAACCCTGGAACAGTAATGCAGCAGATGAGCAAAGCAATCTGGAAAAATTCAAAAGCCTTAACCATCATGTCACCTCAGGACTGATGTTACCACTTGCATATCATGCTATCGTGGGAAGAGCCAGAGCCTTTTAATCTACTGACTGTGTAGTGCAAATGTGTGGAAGCAGTTGCTAGGAAGCTCCAGGCCTCTGTCTGCTACCGTTCTATAGAAGTCTGCAATGTGTTAAAAGTTCTTTACAAACCATGCAATCACCTGATGTTATAAAACTAAAGCATGCATCTCCACATTAAAACAATCCCAAAATGGGGTGTGTGAGCCCACAGGTTTACCATGCTCCAATTATATGCTTTAACTGTAAAAAAAAAAAAAAATGAAGACCCAGTTTTAAAGAAACAATAAGGTCAGGTGTGGTGGCTCCTCCTTGTAATCCCAGCACTCAAGAAGGTACAGGAGGACAGCAGTGAGGATGAGGCCAGCCTGGTGGCAGAAGCAGGTACCAGGCAGTGAGAGCAAGAGGCAAGGAGAAGGAAGTGAAGAGATGCCCTGGAAGCAGAGAATGGAATAGCCCAACATCAGAAATAAGCAACATGGGACGGGCATGTACAGTGATGAAGCCCGATGGATCAGAGAGGCAAGAGTGTACTGTATCCATCTAGGGGGAGGGAATTTTCTAACTACATGGGCAAAATGAAGAGTAAACCCAAGGCTTTCAGGAGGAAATGAAAACAGAAAGAGAGGATGCATGGAGACTTGCTTTTAACCATAGACTGTTAAAACATGAGAAACAAAACACAATGTATAATACTTGAGGAAATATTAAAATTCAGGACCAAAATCTAAGTAGCACATCTTGGGGCTTATTCAAATGACAGGGCAGCTTAATTATATATTAGAACTTTATAGGATGATTCCAGCCTCTTCATCTTCTAGGGACCCTTCCTCTTTTTCTAGGCAGCCTAAGCCCAGGTCAGAGCAAAGCTGTGTGACAGGTCAAATAAAACATTTACCCAGATGTCCCACAACAGAATAATAGATACAGAAAGTGTGGTTCATCTACACAATGGAATACTACTCTGCTTTTTAAAATGAGGACATCATGAGTTTTGCAGGCAAATGGATGGAACTAGAAAATATCATTCTGAGTGAGGTAACTCAGACCCAAAAGGACATGCATGGTATGTATTCACTAATAAGTGGATATTAGCCCCCCCCCAAAAAAAAGTACAGAATATCCAAGATACAATCCAGAGAACTCAAGATTAACAAGCAGGAGAGCCCAAGTGAGGGTGCTTCAATCCCACTTGGGAGGGAGAAAAAAGTAATCACTGGGGTGTCAGAGGGAGAGAGGGTTCTGGGTGGGAAAGGGGTCAGGGAGGGGAAAGGGAGAACATGATCAGGTATTGAGGGGAACAGGCCTGAAGCCATAAGGGCAAGCAGAAAAAATGATAACAGGCAACCTCAGGAAGTAGGAGGTAGGGGGAAGAGTGGGGAGAGGGAACTTGTAGAATCCACCTCCAGTAGAAAGACAGGGCATCTAGTGGAGGGATGGGTTTGCTGTCCCACAGTCAAAAGCTCTGACCCAGAATTCTCCCTGTCTAAAAGAAGTGCTGGGACAAAAATGAAGAACCTGAGGGAAAGGAGGCCCAGTGACAGGCCCAAATTGGTATCCAGCTCAAGGGGAGGCCCCAAGGCCTGACACTATTACTGATGCTACTATGTGCTTACAGACAGAAACCTAGCATGGCTGCCCTGAGCGGCCCAACAAGCAGCTGAAAGAGTCAGATGCAGATACTTACAGCCAACCAATGGACAGAAGGTGGGGACCCCTGTGGTTGAATCAGGGAAAAGCTAGAAGCTAAGGAGGAGAGTGCCCATAGGAAGACCAGCAATCTCAACTAACCTGGACCCCTGAGATCTGACACTGAACCACCAACCAGGCAGCATACACCAGCTGATATGAGACCCCCCCCCCCAAGATATATACGCAGAGGACTGCCTGGTTTGGCCTCAGTGAGAGAAAATGCACCTAACCCTCAAGAGACTTGAGGCCCAAGGAAGGAGTAGGAAGTCTGGTGGAGTGGAGGTGGTGGGGAGAAGAGGGGGAGGGGCAGGGGGAGGAGGTATGGGATGAGGAACAGTCAGAGCATGGACCAGGAGGCAGTTAAAGACTGGACTGTAAAAAAATATTAAATAATTTTTTTTAAAAAAAATCTGAAATGAAAGCCAGACTTACCATTGTAAGACACAGCAGGAAGCTTCCCTCTTTGACATGTAACCTGAGCATTAAGTACTGACTAAACACACAGTAAGTTGGGGATAAATGAACACTCATGAAATGACTGAATATATAATATATGCATATATTTTATATATATAAACACTATCTGAACATATATTTGTGAAATGAGGCTGAAGATGCTTATGAAATGTTTATTTCACCAGTTGATAAGTTAATCCTTCACTTGAATGGTCATGTTCACATTGGGCCAGAAACAAGACAGATACATAGCTAGCAAGAGAAGACTGTTAACCATTGTTAGCTGCCAAACTATGAGAACCAAACACTGGGGATACTTTTTATATCAGCACACTTTTGCATACTCAGAATTACTTCAAGGGTAAGTAGCCTCTTTTTTTCAAAGATAAAGACACTGAGTGTCTTGTCAGTACATAAAATGACCAAGTCGAATACATAGTAAGGCACTGCCAACAAGCCAATGGTTTAAACATTTGGGAAAAAATTTTCCTATTTGTGTGTGTGTCCGTGTGTGTGTATATGTGTGTGTGTGTGTGTGTGTGTGTGTGTGTAATAAGCTATTAGAGAATACTTGGAAATTTAGTGGGAAGGAAGACCCTACTCCCAGTAGCTAAAGCCAGATCATTAACTGAGATATTCATCTCAGTCCCTTCCTTGTTTATGTTTAAGATCATGAACAAACGACATTCAAAATTAAATGCCAACAAATTTTTAAAATGGAATCTGCTTGGCTTTACTTATTTTTTATTACTTTTTAATTATGTGCGTGCATATATGGGGTATCTGCAGGTGAATGCAGGTGCCCATGGGTGGCCTGAGGCAGTAATAAGCCACCCAACATGGGTGCTGGGAACGTTAGTCCTCCACAAGAGCAGTACATGCTCTTAACTGCCGAGCTGCCTCTCCTCCCCTAACATCTGGTTTTAAAATGAAAGCATACACATTAGTAAATATTTTGGAGATACAGAAATATATAAAGGAAATTAAAGTCATATGGAATCTCATTAGTCAAAAATAAAACAGTATATTCTTATTTCTCTTTAGTCTTTTTCTGACAGTTTTCAACCTACAGTATTCAAGACCTTTAAGTAACAGAAGTTTTGAGTGGATGACAAAGAAGAACTTGATGACAGTATGTGCCACTCAAATGATCTATAGGTTTTTAGGAGGCAGACAGTAACCAATATCTCCATCTGCTCATAAGGCTTCCAAGCAGTAAGTCCTAAAGCTTATGCTTTCTAGTATGTGGATTGCCAGGTTCGCTGGTTTGTTCTGAACCCTGTGGAACTATGTCACTTAAGAATATCCCACACAAACTTTTAACCACATTCCTCAGGGAAAGATAAGAGCTAAGTCTGATGAAAAGATTTCATATGTCACAAGAAAATATATAATACGTGTTAAACATTTTCCATACTTGTTTATATAAAAGAGGGTTAGCAAGAAAATAAGGCATGATTGATAATGGCTCAGGAGGTTCTGACTTGTACAACAGAATTGTTTTTATATTATTAAACTTTAAAAGAATTTATTATCAAAATTAAAAACGAAGCTGTGGTTCTGCATAAAGTCATAATCCCATTCAGCAGTGGTCAGGGGGTGTCTGTTGGTGGTGTCTGCACACAGCACTGAAGGCAGGGAGGAATCAAGGGCGAGCTCCAGTTGGAATGTTGAATATATTCAGACAGCTTCCTCCTGAGTTAGACGGTCATGACACACTGGATGAACTGAAAGAGGAGACCAGTGTTACACTACAGTTTGCAAAGTATGGAGGGTGCCATAGCCTTTGAGGTGCCATAGTCTCTGTGGTAGCATAGTCTCTGAGGTGCCATAGCCTCTGTGGTAGCATAGCCTCTGTGGTAGCATAGCATCTGAGGTGACATAGTCTCTGAGGTGCCATAGCCTCCCTGTGGGCAGTCCATTTTAGTTCTTTATCTTAGCATCAAGAGTAAACAAGAACAACAAAAAGTCCCATTTTTCTACATTATGCATAAATGAAGGGTGGGAAGGTTCTTACTTGTAGGGGAGCTTTCTTTTGTAAAGTCTGATGAGTTTCTCACTTTATGGGAAGGAGGAATCCCTTCAACAGATAAAGAATGGAAATGCTAAATAATATTTAAGAGTCTGAAAACAGTCATGGTCAAAAGTACTTGCCCACAAGAACAAATAAGCTTACACTGTCTTATCAACAGACTTCACACTGTGACTTTACCCCACTACTCTAGGGGTAACTTTAATACAATCACCCTTTAAAATCTGCTTCACCAGAGTCAAAGCCATGCACACACAGAAAGAGAAAAACCAACCCTGCTCCAACTACTCCGAAACACACAACCGGCAACATCAGTCCTTGCTATGCGGTGCTCCTTCTCCAGCTAGGCCCATTAGAGAAGTGGTTCTCAACCTTCCTAATGCTGCAACCCTTTAGTACGGTTCCTCATGCTGTGGTGACCCCAACTATAAGGTTATTTTTGTAGCTACTTCATACCTATAATTATGCTGTTGTTATGAATTGTAATGTAAATATCTGATATTCAGGATGATCTTAGGAGACTCCTGTGAAAAGGTTGTTCGTCCACTAACGGGGTCATGACTGAGAGGGTGAGAATCATTAAACTAGACCACACCCATCCTGAGCTTACTCTCCAACACTGGTAAAGAGCTACACAGTGCTAACTCCTGCATCAATTCTGCTAAGCCAACTTGATGGTTCTTCTTCGAGAGACAAAGAAACCAAAGTTTAGGACATGTAGAAACCTGTTTGGTGGTCCCCTCTAAGGCCAAAGTCTATACTTCTGCAGGTCATCTCCATAAATAGCTTGTTTCAAATCATGGTTTAAGTTGGTGTCTTCCTTATGTTCTCAAGGAACAGCATAGGTGTGCAAAGCACAGCTGTAAGCTACCTCTCAGTGGCATGTTTGTTTTAAACAGGGTGAAAGAAAAGGTAACATCTGCATTGCAGGTCAGCTTGACACAGCTGGCTGAAATCTGACAACAGCTTTGAAAGAAACCTTATTGCTACTTTGTATATGTGTGTATGCCATGCACACTGTGTGTCACGATGTGTATATGTGGTATATGCTGTGCCAAGATGTGTATATGTGGTGCACACTGTGT